CAACAGAAATTCTGTTGCAAGAGTGTGTTTGCAACAAAAGTCTGTGCAATTGCTGAACTGCAACGGAAAAGCCGTTGCAATAAGCAATAGCAATGGAGTTATTATATAATTATTATTATTATTCAATCAATAAAGAAATATTTTCCTAACCCTAAACTCCATCTCTCCTCCTTGCTGATCAACGACCGTCTTTCCCTCGCCCTTCTCAGTCTCCCCTTTTTCCTCGATTCTATAGCTCGAAGGTGCTCAACCTTCCCTATCCCGATACGATACCATATCAATTGGTGCTTTCATTGTTGAACTCACAAAAAAAGATAAATAATCGACCATATCTGCTTCTCCACCGCCATATCGATTTGAGATCAGTTGAAGCGCTGCAATTTTGTTTCTATCAATGGGGTAACAAAAGTTGTTGTCCGTGCATTTTTTATACCACAAATTACTTCTTGTGTGTGCTAAGAATTTAGTTTGGTTATCAATTTGGGTTGGAAACCTGCCGCTACCAAACCCTAGTTTGGTTTAGTATCAATTTTTTTTTGAGTCAATTTAATTTTGCCGCCTGGATTTAGTGTTGTGCCTCTAAGCAATCTCCATCTACTCCTATCTATCTACTTGGTGCTTTCGCACTCTCCACAAAAAAAAACATTGTGGTGGTAGTGGAAAAACTACAATGATGCGTATCTCCATAGAAACAGTGGTGTAGGAATTCCAGGATTTGAGGCTAGAAGTGCACGACACCAACAAAATCATCATCATCATCATATATATATATATATATATATATATATATATATATATATATATATATTTATTTATTTATTTATAAAGCTGAGAGGCTTAAATGTGGTAACGACATGTGTCACGCCACACGTGTACATTTGTAACACGTGTCATGCCACATGTGTATCACATGCCACGTGGCATGCCATGCGTGTGTATTAATTTTTATATGGGTAATTTACCTAAATAGGACTAAAACATAATGACTTTCTTAATATAGGACCATATGTCCAATGTAGGACCATTGGTCATTATCTATTAGTCATTGTTCAACTAAATGTCCAGCATCACTTGGACATTACTCTTCTCACTAGTCATTATTAAGTCCTATTTAGGGAATAAAAAAGTTTAAGTTCTACATTGTGAAATGACTTATGTTTTAGTCCTATTCACTGCAAATTTCACTTTTTATATTAAATAATCACTATTTTATTATACTTTGTAAATCCCTTCAGTTTATAAACTTTCACTTTCTAACTTTAATAATAGAGTAAATTCCATAATTGGTCCTTTATAACATGAGGATTTTCCTATTTAGTCCTCTATTTTCAAATATTACCGTAGTGGTCTTTCTTTTATGGGTATCTTTCCACAAATAGTCCTTTTTTGTTCTTCTATCATGTTGGAGTTAATTTGAGGGCTAAAAGTGTAATTTCACAATGATAATATATCTTTTTTGTCATACACAAATCCAAATGTTGTTCAGTTTGCGTCGTTTGTGAATTACATTCGCTTTCTACTACAACCATAATCTACATATGTGGTCTTCCGTCGGAATCCTAGCCCACAATCATAGTCATTATTTTTGTGTTATCCGCTTAACCAATATCAGAACACGTCACTAGACATAATGTTGATGTCAAATTATACTTTTAGCCTTTAAATTAACACCCACATGGCAGAAGATAAAAAACGGATCATTTGTGAAAGACATCCTTAAAAAAAGGACTATGAGGGTAATATTTGATAATAGAGGACTAAATATGGAAACCCTCTTTTATAAAGGACCAATTAAGAAATTTACTCTTAATAATAATTTTTGTATTATATTTTCATCATTGTAATATATTTCAAAGTCCCAAAACTAATTTCATTAATTTAAAAATTTTAAATAAGTTATTTTTTGTAATCCATAATTTACATTTCTATTACTTCTAAAAAGTAATTTCATTAATTTATCACATATGCATCTTTTTTTAGTTCTATTGACTCTATTACATAAGCATTTTTATTAACTACTCCCTCCGTCCTTTGAAAAACTTCTCATTTTGACTTTTAAAGGATTTAAGGAAAGTGTATTTTGGTATTGACTTTCCAAAAATGCCCTTTGATATAATGGAAAATGGATAAAGTAGGATAAGATGGGTAGATTAATAGAGAAAAAGTGTGATATGATAGGTAGGTTAAGAATTAATATGAGCAAATATGACTTTTTAATAGAAAAGAGAATGGTTTTTTGGGACGGATGAAAAAAGAAATGAGAAGGGTTTTGTGAGACAGAGGGAGTATATGATATATATTTTAAAACTTAAGATTTATTTTATTATGCACCCTCTCTCCTAAAATTGACTTCTCAATGTAGAAAGAATATTTTCATTGAGTAATTGTGGTGATTACATGTGAATATATACTAGGAGTCTCAATCCTAATTATGGTAGGAGAGACATAGTAGGAAGGTGATACAGTTAGGGTAACAATATAATACAATAATATTAAATATATAAATAATATATTTAACATGCTCCCGGCTACGTCGGATGTGGAAGCGGTCTGATGCCCAGGCTGTCTCGAAAGTCAAGAAACAGAAGTGAAGGGAGTCCTTTGGTGAAGATGTCGGCATACTGGGAGGACGAAGGAACATGCAGGACTCGAATGTGCCCAAGCACCACTTTGTCACGAACGAAGTGTATGTCTACCTCAACATGTTTGGTGCGCTGGTGCTGTACGAGATTGGTTGAGAGATAGACGGCACTGACATTGTCGCAGAAGACCAGAGTAGCACGCTGGAGGGGTTGCTGCAGCTCAAGGAGGAGGTTGCGCACCCAAGTAGTTTCTGCTACGGCATTAGCTACGGCCCTGTACTCGGCTTCTGCACTGGATCGCGAGGTGGTTGCCTGCCGTTTGGACGACCAAGAAACAAGATTATCCCCTAAAAACACGCAGTAGCCTGAAGTGGACCGTCTGGTGTCTGGGCAACCAGCCCAATCAGCATCGGAGTAGACCTGGAGATAATCTGTGGAAGACGGCGTCAGATGGATGCCATGAGTAGTGGTGCCGCTCAGATATCAAAGAACACGCTTCATGGCCGTGAGGTGAGCGTCCCGGGGTGCATGGAGATGAAGGCAGAGCTGCTGAACCGCATATGTGATGTCGGGTCGAGTGAAGGTGAGATACTGTAGAGCACCCACAATGGATCTGTAGATGGAGGGATCTGAGAGTAATGTGCCCGTGGAGGAGGACAGCTTTGCCTTTGCATCTACCGGAGTGGTGATAGGGCGACAAGAAATCATTCCAGCACGCTCAAGTATATCATGTATGAACTGAGTCTGATGAAGAAAGAGCCCTGTGGTCGTCCGATGAACATTGATGCCAAGGAAGAAATGTAGGTCCCCCATGTCAGTCATGGCAAATTCGGTCTTGAGCTGGTGAATAAGACTCAGAAGGAGTGATACTAAGGAGGCAGTGAGGACGATATCATCCACATAAAGGAGGAGGAATGCTGTGCCCGTGGTGTGAGAGAAGATAAAGAGGGATGTGTCAGCCTTGCACCCGCGAAAACCAATAGTCTGAATGAAGCCGGCAAATCTGTGGTACCACGAGCGCGGTGCTTGCTTAAGCCCATAGAGTGCCTTCTTGAGTTTGCATACATAGTGAGGTCTGGCGGCATCCTGAAACCCAGAAGGCTGGCTGGCATAAACTGTCTCCTGAAGGTGGCCATGCAGGAACGCGTTTTTGACATCGAGCTGGTGGATAGGCCATCCCCGAGACAGGGCAAGGCTAAGGACGATTCAAACAGTAGCAGGCTTGATGACTGGGCTGAAAGTCTCGTCGTAGTCAACTCCGAAACGTTGATTGAAACCACGGACCACCCATCGGGCTTTATACCTGGATAACTCACCTGTGGGGCCAAGTTTATGTCTGAAGAGCCATTTACCGGTGATGATATTTTGTGAGGGGGAGGGGGGGTACTAATTCCCATGTGTCATTCTTAATCAAAGCATTATACTCATCACAAATAGCAGCATGCCAGTTTGGATCCTTGAGTGCACCACAATAAGTTGGGGGAAGGGGGGAG